TGTTTAAATTTGACTCTTTAGAAGATTTAAGTTACAATTCTATAATATATTTACAAGAAATTATATAAGGCTATATATATATATATATATATATATATATAATTTACAAGAAAATATCTTGGATAAAAATATTTCAAAAAAAAATAGCCCGGACCACTTAGGCCCGTGGGCCCTGCCCATTTAGCCCGGGACCATATGGGCTTAGGCCCACAGCGGGCCGATTCCATCATTTGGGACCGTTTGGCCCGGGACCGCCAGAGCCCAGCCTGCCAAAGCCCAGGCCCGTTAGGCCCATTTAGGCCCGGGCCCGACCCAGATACAGCACTAAAATCGAATACCGAAAATATCGAATCAAAATGTTTAAATACCGTACCGTACCGACCGACGAACACCCGTGCTAGCAGCATTATATTCCAACACTGGCTTTAAAGTTTTTTTGCCTTTTCTACTCAGAGTGTTGCTTTTAACTATCACTAGTATTAGTACCGCGCGATGCGCGGACACAAATTATGTTAAATTGTGATGTATGTTATTTGAATTATGTGCAAATAACATTTAAATATAAACCTCTCAGATAACAATTATATAACATTAGATATTAATTATGAAGTAGGATATGAAACTAAAATCTCGTAGTGCATAACCTATTTTTATATATAGATTTGTAGCAACCTAACCCCTTGATTTTAGTCTTGCATTTCATTTCGTTGTCAATATTAAAGAATACTAAACATATCATGTTGTGATATGTCTTGTTTGAGCACAATATATCATATTATTTTAACAAACTTCTTACTATCACTTTACTTTTATCTAAAAGTTAAGTATGTCTTATTCATCACATTATTTGTACACAAATTCTTTTTTCCTTTGTTTTTTTTTTCTTATAGTTATTGTATTATTTATCATTTAATATTATTCTACTATCATATAATATTTTATTAGCTTAATAATTAAATTAATGTCTTGCTTATTATTCTTTTAAAACTCTTTAATAAATAAAAATATTTTATTCTTGAAATTTGGTATATTTTTATGCTTGTATCCTCCCATTCAAAATTTTTTAATCAATTAAATTTATAGTAATACTATTAAATATAATTTATTTTTTAAATTGATTTATGTATACGTATCCTCACACTATCTCTATTTTTATACATTCTCTTCCCTACTATAAATTTTAATTAGCTTTTACATTAATTTTTTACCAATAACAAAAATAATATCATATTTTATTTTAAATTGTAAAATTGATGTAGGCTAATACATTAATACACATAAGTTATTTGATGATTATGTTCCAAATGTATTGAGTTCTCTCGTAATTATTTTTGATTTATATGCAGTTAATATTTTTTTAGCTTTAAGATATAAATTTAATTTTTAATTTTCATTAATAAAATTACATATATTAGAAAGTTATTTATATTCTTAAAATTTTATTTTAATATAAAAAATAATTTCTTAAATGTTTGAACATATTATATGTATGTAGTAATATGTTTAATGTCATTTTATTTCTTTCCATAATATTTCCAAAATAAAAAAAATATAAAATAAACAAAATCTCATCTCAAATTCAAATAATTCTTGTCATTCTATTTTCTAAATTGGAACGCAAATTCAAAAAATTATGCTATGCTTTCAAACTTATACTAACTGCACTCAATTAAGATATTAATCATAGACAAAAAAATTTTTAGTTGTTTGAACACATTATATCTAAATGTTGTAGTAATATTTTTACTGTCAGCTTATTTATTATGTAAATTTTCTTTCTTTTTAGCTTTAATACAAATTTAATTTTTAATTTTCATTAGTATAATTACCTACATTAGAAATTTATTTTGTATTTTAGTTATTTTTTTCATAAATAAGACTTCAATTTTGTGATAGTATCCATAGTTTGAGCATTCTAATCATAGTTTTAACTACTTTCTAATTTCAAATTCAATTAGCCTTTCCCTTTAATCTCTAATAGTAAATTTTTAACAATTTAGCATTATTTTGCTAATTTTTTAAGTATTTTAACAACTTTCTAATTTCAAATTTAATTAGCCTTTACATTTCTAATTTTAAGTTCGTATATTTAATTTATTTTATTTTCTACACTTATGATTTATAAATATCCTCACAATATCTCTAATTTATTTCGATTATTCAATATTTTTAGTTTTTGATTTTATCTATTTGACTTGAGTTACGTGGACCTATTTATATTATGAATTTTCTTATCATGATATAAAAAACTTTCTCATCTCAAATTTAAATATGTTTTACCTTTTTTTCTATGATAAAAAATCTAAATTTTTTTTCTCTATTTATTTTTTATTTTTGATATTATATTATTCAATAACTAATATTATTACATTGTCATGTAGATTTTTATTAGCTTGTTTGAATTTAATATCTATTTCTACCACACTCATTCTAATATAAATATAGATAAAAATTTAAAAACTTTATCAAATTCAAATAAGTTTTCTTATTCTATTTTCTAAATTTGACTGCATTTTCAAAAAATTATGTTATGCTTTCAAACTTAAACTAATTGCACTCAATTCAAATATTAATCACAAAAAAATATTTTCTTATTTGTTTGAACCCATTATATCTGAATGTTGTAGTAATATTTATATATATAATATTCGTTTACCTGATTTATCAATATTAATATAACATTATTATTCTTGTTATTAAAATATCTTTTACTAATTATTTAAGTTTTTCTTACCTTATTAATAAAATTTAGATACTTTATGTAAGATCTTATTTTGCCGCTTGAACTTATTTAATTTTTAAACTTAATAAATCTTTAATATCTTAATTAAAAGATCTTTAATATCTTAAGTAACTTTTAATTTTGATTTTAACTTACACCAAAGTATAAATAGTTATAGGTTATCTCAATCTACGTCTTTATATTTTTTTTTTATTTTTTTCTATTGTAATTTGTAGTTAATTTTTTACCTCCATATTTCTAGCTAATATAGAAAAAGAATCTATTGGTGGATAAATATAAATATAAATATAGATATAGCTACAAATATACATATAAATATAAATTTAAATGTAGATATATAGATTAGATTTTTCTAAGAGTTATTTAGATTGAGTATAAGATTTATTAAACTACTTTCATTAATTAAGTTTCCAATTACAATTCAAATTTTTAATATTGTCTTAAAATTGCCAAGTGGCTTCCTTTAAGCTTGCCACTTGGCTTAACCACATGCTTCACTACTCTCCTTTTAATATAATATAGATATAGATTTAAGGCCTAGTATAACTGTTTTCTTTACGAGAAAGAAGAGGAAATGACGTGACTTTTGATTTTTAAAGAAGTTACTTATGGGTTTTTTAAAATATTGAATAAATAGGAAAAATAGGATAAAAGCCAAAAAAATTGACAAAAAAGATAATTAAGTTTTTTGGCCATATAAATATGCCACATCACTGTGCCAAGTCCCATTGCAGCTTTATATATTTATATAGATTGCAATTGCATTCTATTGGTAAAATTACAGTATGGCCCTTATAACAAAGATCTCATGTATTAAATTTTT